GATGGCTGATTAAACTTGTTTGTGTTTACCTGAGATTGTTCTTATGTTAAGTGTATTTATATTTGAGTGTCCATCGTAACATGGTGGCAGCGGTTTACACATCTAATAAAGGTAAACGATAACCTAGAATATCTTGAGGAAAATATAAGAAATCAGTTGCTAAAATGGCAACTGCTAACAGATATTTCCCAGTACCGCAACCGCTATTGCAAACAGGCAATATGGCGGCCAATTGGAAACGATTCAGAAGAGACTGGGATAACTATGAAAAGGCCACGAAACTCACAACAGAGACAGAAGATATACGTGTAGCAACACTAATGACCATAATTGGAAGTGAGGCTGCAGACGTGTTTGATTCATTTGGAAAAGGGCAGGAGACAAAAATAAATGAGATTTTAAAGAGTTTTGAAGAGTTCTATGTTGGGAGAACCAACGAAACATATGAGAGATATGTCTTCAATACGAGAAGACAAGAAGAGGACGAGAACATTGACTCATACATAACTGCCCTGAAGAAACTGGCAAGCAGCTGCAATTTTGATAAACTAGAAGAGAGTCTGATTAGGGACCGAATTATCTTAGGGGTTAGAAGTGAACACTTAAAGATGAAGCTGTTGCAAGATGATAAACTAACCCTACAGAAATGCATAAATGTGTGTAGGATATATGAAAGTTCACAAAGGCAAATGAAGGATATCAGAGAAGGAAGAAATGAACCTTTGGACAAACCAACGATTGAAAGAATCTCAACATCTAAGTCAGGTCTGAAATACAGAAAGGAATATCAACAGAGTGACAAAGGGCCAAGACAAAGTAAAACTTGTAAATTTTGCAAGGGCAACCATGAATACATAAAGGAAAAATGTCCGGCCTGGGGAAAATCATGTCACATTTGTGGAGGCAGGAATCATTTTGCCTCAGTCTGCAAAAAGAAAATATATAGCATTACTCAAGCAAAGGCACAGAGCAACATAGACTCAGACACAGAAGAAGAAGAAGAAGTTACACTCCAAACTGAATGGGTAATGGCAATGAATGGCCCCAAAAAGCATAGGATGACGGCCGTCATGATGATCAACAACCAAAGAGTCAGATTTCAAGTGGACAGTGCCGCCGACGTCAATACCATAAACGAAAAGTATGTGTGCCCAGACCAGATAGTACCGACGTCTCAGAGATTAACAATGTGGAATAAGACGGTAATGGAGCCAAAAGGAAAAGCTACGTTGGTAACCACCAATCTAAAGACCAATGAGAAATTCAATGTAGAGTATGTGGTAGTACCAAATGATCTAACATGCCTGCTAGGATTATCAACACTGAGGAAGATGGAACTCATTCACATTAATGAAGACCGATTTATTGCCAAAGTGGAAGCCACAGGAAACAAACACCAAAACATTGACGCACTTGGTGATTTGGGCGTGGCTACATTGAAAATAGACAAGACAGTGAAGCCCAAAGTCCTACCATGTAGAAGAATTCCTATAGCATTAAAAGAGAAAGTCAGAGCCGAACTAAACTCATTAGTTCAACGAGGAATTCTGGAAAAAATAACTGAGCCCACAGAGTGGGTTAGTCAAATGGCATTGGTAGAGAAATCAGATGGCAGTATCAGAATCTGTATTGATCCTCAACCCTTGAACAAGGCACTTCTGAGGGAGCACTACAACCTAACAACACTAGAAGACATTTTGGCTGAAATGGGTAACGCCAAGATATTTAGCAAAGTCGACATCCAGGAAGCTTTTTGGCATATCAAACTAGACCCAGGCTCATCAGGTCTCACTGCAATGGCGACCCCATTCGGTAGATACAAATGGAATAGACTTCCTTTTGGTCTCAAAGTAAGCTCGGAAGTTTTTCAAAGACATTTGAATGATGCGTTGGAGGGACTAACAGGATGTTTTAACGTGGTGGATGATATAATGGTAATTGGAAAGGGGGACACAGTAGAAGAGGCTCGCAAAAATCATGACGAAAACCTATCAAAATTACTCAATAGGCTAAAGGAAAAGAACATCAGACTAAATGAAAAGAAGTCAGCATTCCGAAAGTCAGAAATCGTGTTTTTGGGACACATTATTTCCCAGTCAGGAATAAAACCAGACCCAAACAAGGTGAGAGCCATAACAAATCTAAAAACCCCTGAAGACATTACATCGGTTCGTAGATTTTGTGGAATGATACAATATCTATCAAGATTCATCCCAGGTCTTTCAGCAGACCTACAACCAATAACAGAACTGACAAAGAAACACAAGCTATTCGTGTGGTCGAATGACTGTGAGAAAGCATTTAATAGTGTCAAACAGAAGATATCCAATCATGGAACCCTAAGTTATTTCGACCCGGAGAAGAAAGTAACTATTCAGGCGGACAGCAGTCAAAATGGCCTAGGAGCTGTACTACTACAAGATGACAAACCCATAGCATACACATCAAGATCACTCACAGAGCCTCAGAAAAAGTGGGCTCAAATCGAAAAAGAACTCTTGGCTGTAGTAGTAGCTCTAGAAAAATTTGACCAGTACACGTACGGCAGAACAATAATAATGCAGAATGATCATAAACCTTTGGAAAATATACTCAATAAACCCCTCAGTTGTGCACCTAAAAGGCTTCAAAGCTTAATGATGCGCTTGTACCGATACGATGTTCAGTACCAGTATACCAAAGGAAACAGATTACAGATTGCTGACACGCTAAGCAGAGACCCTTTGCCAGAACAGGAAGATTTTCCTGACACGTCTATCAACACTGTAGGACTGGCTCTCCCAGATATAATGTTAGATAAAGTTAAAGATGCAGTCAAAATAGACAATGAGATGCAGATGTTGAAACAGTACATACTGAACGGTTGGCCAGACAAGCATCATATTGTACCAGAACTCAAACAGTATTGGTCACTTGCAGATGTACTGACCTATGAAGATGGCCTTCTAATGAAAGGGGAGAGAATAATTATCCCAAGAGCATTAAGAAAAGAAGTTGAAACCAAACTACATGCAGCACATTTAGGGTATGATACCATGATGAGAAGAGCAAGGGACGCAGTTTTCTGGCCGGGAATAGCGGCAAGAATAAAAGAAATAGCTAATGCATGTCAACCTTGTCAGCAAAGTAAACCTGCAAACCAGAAAGAAAGCTTAATACAGCATAATGAGGGTTCAAATCCCTGGGATAAAGTTGGAATAGATTTGTTCCAAATATTTGACCAACAATACCTTGCCATAGTTGACTACTATTCAAATTTTATTGAAGTAGAACATTTGCACACGACAACAAGTCAAGTTGTTATAAGAAAACTAAAAAATTTGTTTGCCAGATATGGTGTCCCCAAAGTTTGTATCAGTGATTTTGGACCTCAGTTTTCATCTGTTGAATTCACCGCATTTATGACAGCATGGGGTGTCCACCATTTAAAATCTTCACCAGGACATCATCAGTCAAACGGCAAGGCAGAGGCGGCAGTGAAAATATTAAAGAATCTGATGAAAAAATCCAAAGAAAGTAAATCAGATGCCTATGAAGCCCTATTAGAGTTCAGAAATACACCCAGGCAAGATACCAACTTAAGTCCGGCTCAGATGCTCTTTGGAAGGGCAACAAGAACGTTATTGCCAAGAAGAGAGCATCCTGCAAGAATGTCACAACAAGAAGCCACGGCCAAAAGGGAGAAGCGACAGCAAAGTGTCAGAAAACACTACAACAAAACAGCTCGTGACATGAAGCTTATAAACGTCGGACAGAAAGTCTTCTATCAATCGCCAAACGATACTACCTGGAGACAAGGCAGAGTATGTCGGAAAGTGAACGAACGTGCCTACATTATAGAAGGCGACAATGGTTTCATGTACCAAAGAAATAGAAGACACCTACGACCTGACAACACTAACAACATAGACTTTTCTCCAGATAGAGAAAGTAATAGTACGGACATTTTCCCAGACGCAGAGAACGAGTGTATTAACAATCCGCCCAACGCCGAAAACACTCACCAGTACTCTCTGAGACCTAGGGCCACTCTCCAGAAACCGTCAAGAAATGGGGACTATGTCTAAGAACTGTGCATATGAACTGTTGTAAATAGTTTTGTTAATCTGACTATAGTTATTTAATGTGAAACATAGTGACGGCTGTAAACAGTGTTGTCAAGTTGATTGAATAATTTTTTTTTTTCGTTCTATTGTTTTTCAACTTTTCTTTTTTTTTTATTATTTTTTTTTGGGGAGGAGAGGGGATGTTGATGGAATGTTATATTTGTATGAAGAGTTGTGCCCATGAACAGGGGAAACTACTCTAGTAATCAAGATGGCTGATTAAACTTGTTTGTGTTTACCTGAGATTGTTCTTATGTTAAGTGTATTTATATTTGAGTGTCCATCGTAACAAATTTATGAATGAAAATAATTGTATCTTATATTTTAATATATATTACATGAATTTCGGAAGTGCGGTGGCTGAGTGGTAAAGTTAGTTTTACTGAGTGTTAACAGTGTATCATACTTTCTCTTATGGAGTCATCGGTTTCATTTGTTGTATTTTTAGCAACATTTGAAAATGAGATTTCTTTATTTCTGTTTACCGCCACGTCTTGAAACCTATTTTCCATTTCATGTATTATCTGTCTTGGGGATGTTGTACATACCAAAATAGATCCAATCGATTTCAGGCTTTTAGATTGGAATGTCATAACTGCCTTTGCATGATCAGTAGAATAATACATTGCCAAAAAACACTCAAGACAAAACAGTAAGTACCATGTTCTCACAACGGTTAAGGTGAACATTGTTCAGAAATGGCTTAAACTCCATGATTGTCTGTTGTAGACTATTGTACACATGTATCATACATGGTTTCACATACGAATTCATTCCTTGGCACAAAATTAAGGCTGTGAGGAACTAAACAATGTAGGTATTTTGAAGAAATAAAGTAGAGCCAATTATCTCTTTATAAGTATCACAATATTTACATATTTTTAGTAATAAGCCTTATTTAAATAGAAAGGTAATTTTTTTTATTTATTTCTTGTAGATAGTTTTAATACGTTCTCAATATCAATAAAAGTACAAGTCAAAGAAAATGTACACATTTAGGATAGGAGTTTTTAAAAGCTCTGATGTACACACTATATTCATGTACCTATAATACAGTTAGAATTGGTCATAATTACAGTTTTATATACAAGGCTAAACAGAAAATATAAACATAGATTATCTAGACATTAAAGAATTTTTCTTAGAAATATACTTTATTACTCTTTCTCTCTCTCTCATTTTCTCTGATTCTCTTCCTCCCTCTCTCTCTCTCTCTCTGATTCTCTTCCTCCCTCTCTCTCTCTCTGATTCTCTTCCTCCCTCTCTCTCTCTCTCTGATTCTCTTCCTCCCTCTCTCTCTCTCTCTGATTCTCTTCCTCCCTCTCTCTCTCTCTCTGATTCTCTTCCTCCCTCTCTCTCTCTCTCTGATTCTCTTCCTCCCTCTCTCTCTCTCTCTGATTCTCTTCCTCCCTCTCTCGTTATTTCTCTCACATTCCCTTTCATATTGTCACTCTATTCTTTTTCTCTGAATTTCTAATCACATTCTTTTCTTTTCTTTCTTCCATCCCCCTTTCTCCCCCACCGTTATTTTTTCAATCACTTTCTATTTAATTTGCCTCTCTTTCTCACATTCTCTTTCTCTCTTTCTCACATTCTCTTTCTCTCTTTCTCACATTCTCTTTCTCTCTTTCTCACATTCTCTTTCTCTCTTTCTCACATTCTCTTTCTCTCTTTCTCACATTCTCTTTCTCTCTTTCTCACATTCTCTTTCTCTCTTTCTCACATTCTCTTTCTCTCTTTCTCACATTCTCTTTCTCTCTTTCTCACATTCTCTTTCTCTCTTTCTCACATTCTCTTTCTCTCTTTCTCACATTCTCTTTCTCTCTTTCTCACATTCTCTTTCTCTCTTTCTCACATTCTCTTTCTCTCTTTCTCACATTCTCTTTCTCTCTTTCTCACATTCTCTTTCTCTCTTTCTCACATTCTCTTTCTCTCTTTCTCACATTCTCTTTCTCTCTTTCTCACATTCTCTTTCTCTCTTTCTCACATTCTCTTTCTCTCTTTCTCACATTCTCTTTCTCTCTTTCTCACATTCTCTTTCTCTCTTTCTCACATTCTCTTTCTCTCTTTCTCACATTCTCTTTCTCTCTTTCTCACATTCTCTTTCTCTCTTTCTCACATTCTCTTTCTCTCTTTCTCACATTCTCTTTCTCTCTTTCTCACATTCTCTTTCTCTCTTTCTCACATTCTCTTTCTCTCTTTCTCACATTCTCTTTCTCTCTTTCTCACATTCTCTTTCTCTCTTTCTCACATTCTCTTTCTCTCTTTCTCACATTCTCTTTCTCTCTTTCTCACATTCTCTTTCTCTCTTTCTCACATTCTCTTTCTCTCTTTCTCACATTCTCTTTCTCTCTTTTTTTTTCTCTCTATCCCTTTTTTTTTGTTTTATTATCTATTAAATTCTCTCTAAATTTCTTTCTAATTCTCTCTCTTTCTCTCTCTCTGTCTCTCTTGTTTTCTCCTTCGAGCTCTCTATTACAACCTCTTCATTTGTTGGGTCAAGTTAAAACTTTGCTCAAGTTTTTCATTGTCGAGGACAACAGATAAATGAAACAAAAATTGCCAATTAGTTTAATAAGTAGACGTAACTTTGTTGAAAATATATTTATCTATAGGGATAGAGGCCTAAAGTAGAGAGCCAGGTGGATCGCTAAATTTTTTAAAGTTACAATAAGGAAAAAAACTACTATTATTATAAATACTTGAATAGGTCAGTGGCTAACGCGTCGGGCTTGCTTCCATCACGAGACTCAAGATCCCTAGTTGGAATTCAAACTCGAAAAAAGCTTTTAAAAAAGCATCAAGAAACCTTCCAGAGGCTTTTCCTGCCCCCTCCTCCCAAACGTATCAACAAAGTGATTGGATTATAACGCACTGAGCCTCCTTACAGCGTATAATTGCGCTCAACAAAAAGCATTTCCAAGTGCAGACATTTATTATTATTAGTCTACATATATTTAGAAAAATTAATTAGATTGGCTCATAATAACTAATGCATTTTTACTCAATATAAGATTTTTATCTTAAAAAACAACAACATTGTTTATATTGTTCTGGTTAGTATACTTAGATCTATCCTAATACAGAAGCTGAGTAAACCTTCTATTTATTTAGACGTTTTTCTCTCTCGGGACATGTCTTTGAATTATTTATTTTGCTTTCGTTTATTCTATTTTCATGATCTTGCAATTACAATAGCGATTTTTGAAGTGTGATAATTGCTGAATTACGTAATTTCTCTATTTTGTGGTACATTCTTATGAGGCAGTTCTTTTGCTTTGCAAACAGAATGAGCGCTATAAAGGAAAGAACAAGTGTTGACTTGTGTCACTCTGCTGACAAATGCAGCTTAACCAACGTCTCAATATTGTGTGATAACTTGCCAGGAACATCTATTTGTATTTGCAATGAAACAAATGAATATAAGATCCTGTTTATAAAGCTTTCTTCCCTCTAACCACACCTAAAAAAATACAACTACAACCCGGAGCAGCTTTCGGCCGATTGCTCCAATTAGGCGCCACCTCTGGCAGGAGCGCTGCAATTTACATTATGCATATCACTGTCAGTGACAGGCTTTTAAAGATGTGTTAACCTATCTAGTGCAGGCTTATCGTGCGATTGACGTAATTTTAATCAACACACAGGCGCCGTTTTAGATACTTCCTATGTATGTGCATAACAAATGCTGGTATAACGATGTAATAGTAATAGTTGTTATTTTGAAAAAAGAAAAACGGGCCTCGCAAGCATCCATTAAAATTGGGCCTCGCAATTCGTAAGGCCGGCCCTGACTTCATTCAAAGAGAATGGAAATATAAAACACTAACAAGTGAAAGGGGATTCTCTACAGGTCATACTACAACTACAAACCACATTTCAACATCAGCTATTCCTTCGGTTGTAGTGCCCAAAATTATCTGTTGACAGTCTGTCTTCATTCCACTCTGCTTCTCCCCTTGCTTAGAATTTCTTTTCAATGACATTCCCTTCCATTCTTTGATGGCATTGATTTCTTAGTCTGTCTCTTTTTTTCTCTAGAACTGTTCCCTGTAAGAAGGTTTTTTCGACATCCGAGGTCTTATGAATATGAAGTCCAGTTTAATTTTTTTTTTACAGTGGTCAGCAGTTCATCATTGGGCCCAATATCCATTACGTACACTGACATTAGAACATGCTTGAACAGGAGACAGAGTCCTTCAGATATCAGAGTTGATCACAATTAGATTTTTTGTGGCCGAAGAAACTTTAACACATAAACATTAACTACATTGGGACTATAAATTATTGATATTTACATTTTTTTACAGCTTAATACATATATTAGATTTATTCATAAGCGCACAGGAAGCACATTTTTTGTATCTCTGTAAAGTTTTTTTTTCATTGACAAAGAAAACATAATAACATCATCTCCAATGGTTATTTGGTGATATATGCCTTCTTTAAGTCTACTGGGCTTATGTATTCTGAAATAATAAACAAAAACAACAAAATTATTTCAACATTAAAGTAATATTTAAATATAATGTAATGACATTCGTTCAGTGGTCGAAGACCAAACAATACATCATAAATTATCATCATCATTACACTTTAGAAAATCCTCGACAAATGCCCAGGAAGATGTGCGCAAATGGACGTGTCACCATACAGGTCAAGAGCGTGTTGCTTCCCAAGCCTATCAAATCGCAATTCGCTTTTTTGAGGCAATCAATAAGAATACAAGATACCTTTTTTTTCTTTTTTTCCCTGCCTCACTGTGAAAGTTTGCCAATTTATGCAAATTTTATGAACCAACTTAAAACATGACATGCCTTACGTTGTAGTATTATTCAAACGTGGAAATAACATCCACGGAGTTCGTATACGATTTCATACTGCTTGAGATTTCGGGGAATCGATCTAGCACTGTCATGCATTAACACTCTGACCATACGATTACTAGATCAATCTCATTTATGATGAGCTCAAACATGTATCTGAACTCCAGATATTCACTCTTAAAAGCCGACAGCACAGAATGCGTGGGCTCGACTGCAATGATACCTGTTTTGTCCTTTTTTAAAATGATTTTTTCACAAAGCTTATTTCAACTCACTCTGTCTGTCTGTCTGGTAAAACGTGTGTACACGTTATTTCTTCCGCACCCATTCTCGAATCAAGCTGAAACTTAGCACAATTATTCATTGACATAGACAAGACTTGAAACAAAAAAAAGTAACCAAATAGATAATTAAATACTGTTAGTTCATTATTTTGTTTAATACCAATAAGGGAAACTAATTCTTCAGGATCCATAGATATGGCCAAATTGGTTTGATTTAGTCCCCTTCAATAATTGTTAACGCTAATTATTTCTCACGCATTCTCCGATCAAGTTATTACTTTAAAAAAATGATGTATTTTACATAAATGAAAAACAAAACAAAAATACTGATATAATAAACTATATAATGGTCATTAAAAATTATATTTGATATCGAATAAGGTAAATAACTTTTACACTACAAGGGTGATATGGTTTTAAATCCGGAGTTCTTTCCCCTTTGATAAGCTTTTTATAGAATTTTCTTATTTTAATATTTTAGTGCTATCGGTCCTTAATAGATAGATTTAAAAGCTGAACAGTTGTTTTGGTTCCTGATACAACATTCTAGTCAATAATCCATCTCATAGAACATGTATCACCAGGAGTTCAGACTTTGGTACAAAGTGAAGTCCAGGACAGATATGAATTGGTACTGCAATCGCACTATCCGAAAAAGAAAAAAAAACAACCTCTTTTTCCATAACCTGTACTATTCAACTAATGTTTGTCTGTATCCACCTGCGACGTCTACGAGGTAAGGCTCAGATACCGATTTGTATAGAACAGCTGTGCAATGCAAAGTTCGGCTCGGAATGACAGAGACAGAGAAAGAGAAAAAGAATAAGAAAAAATGAAGAATAAGAGCACAGTAAGCTTTCGACTTCAGTTGTTCAACGACATTTTGTTCAAGTCACTTTGTTTACAGGACACTTGGCTCATCCGACAATCGGCTCATCTGACAATTGGCTCATCCGACAATCGGCTCATCTGACAATTGGCTCATCTGGCAATTGGCTCATCTGGCAATTGACTCATCCGACAATTGGCTCATCTAAAAATTGGTTCATCCAACAATAGTCTCATCTAACGATCGGCTCATCTGATAATTGGTTTA